CTAAGACGAGGCGAGACATATTTTTCATCGGCCACAAAATCCTATGAGAATCCTGTTTAATATCAAGATCGTTGATTTTCCATCTAATTACACCGTTTGATAACCTCCAATATTGTTCATTGTTACATCAGTGTTTTCCTTTCTTTCTTTGAAGATCCGTCTGCTTTACACACTTTGAAAGTTCAGAAATTAAATTCATCTCATACAAGATATGAAATATTAACGTATCCTGTTTGCGCGGAAGATGATAACGAGTTACGGAAAACACCTTTAAATGAACGCGAAAGAAAAGTTGAGACTTTGATCTAATCTTATAATCTTCTTGCGGGAGAAAGGAAGGTTAGTTTCTTCATTGTGCCTTTAGTTATTAAATTGTCGTCTTCAACGATAACTTGATTATCAAGGTAATAACACAGGTAATAATCTAATAAATTTGATTAAACGGTGAATTGCACTGTCAATCGACACTTCTAAAATATTTGTATACACCTTGTGTCTATGTCTTGTTATCAATATCTCGATCTTCATTTTTAATTTGGTGAAAACTATCAGTTAACTATCTGTAAGGATCTGTAAGGATCGATTGATCATTGATCAGGAATCACAGAACGAGAATCAGGGATTAAGATTGAAAAAATGTGAGGATTGACACGAAATAATGATCATCAAATTATATCGATCCTGCTTTAAGATCCAAAGAAGAAGAAAACTCATTTCAGGTTTTTTTTCCACCGTTCCGTTACAACCACTAGCAACTCGAATATCCTGGATTATTCTCGGTGATCTTCGAGAGTTGGTTTCAATTATTCGGTCGGCCGACTCAGGATTAGCGAAACGAGAGAACAACGATCGGTTGGATGTCGATCTAAAGTCGGCGCGAGCGCGAATCATTATCTTCCTCTCGTCTCTCCCATTTTCCCCCCAAAAAGTGAAAAATTGGCAGAATCGCGACGAGTCCTGCCCTAGGATAACTTGACACTCCAGCTCGTTCAAGCATCAGCGAGTGACTGAGGGCTGCAGACAGCGGGCCCAGAAACGGGGCCCGCCACGCCACGGCCCCGGCTCACGAGCCCCCCTCGCCATGTCTTTCAGGACCAGTTCGGTCGCTTCGTCGCTGCCTGCGAGGGAAGGATGCTGTGCACCGAAGGACTCCCCACCCGCGGGAAACCTATGTCCTACGTCCTACGTCGTGCATTCCGCGTCCTGCGCGGTCTGCGCCCTGTCGAAGCCGGCCAAGGGCCTTCCCCACCTGATCTTGGCGCACGCATTTCGCGCCCTCGATCAAGACACACGGGAAGATCGCTCTCGTGTTTTCCGGCGCGTAACGAGATTTTGTCCATCCATTAGGAAATAACATTCTATTGTTATGCGTATTTTCTAAAACTTTTAAAATTTCATTCTTAAAAATTAAAAATTAAAAATTGAGTCACACTTATTCAAGACTCTTACTCAATTTTCACTCTTTGAAATGAAATTCCATTCTAAAGAACTTAGGAAGTAGAAATATCTTGTTACTCTTTTATATGCAAGAATATATAAAATTATTTTAGTCTAAAAAGTTGGTCGAAAATTTAAACGCAGAATTTTAATAAAATATCTATATTCACAGAAGAAAATTTTGAGAAAAATAAAAATCGTGACTTGTTATTCTTAATTATTTTACTAATTTAAAATTTAAGATAATAGAGAATTCACATTAATTTTGTTATATTAAAATAATTTGCAAACTGCTTTTTGACTAATTGATTTGATTAATATTAAAATTTAATGCCAAATAACTCATATTTTGATATTTGTTTTTCTTAAATAAGTATTCAAAAATATTCAAATCAACAATATGCATTGAATTAACATATTAAATAATACAAATAAATGTTTCATATATTTTCTAAGCAATTAATAAAAATATTATTAAATTAAACAAAAAAATAATAAAAAATAATTAATGCTTACAGATATAGTTATCAGAATCATTTTCTATATACTTATAGATTTTTTAATTAATTTTGTTATTAGCAATTTTTTGCTACAGAAATAAGATTATATAAAACAACTGTTCTTCTCTCTAATTAATAAAGTGTAACCTAATACTTTAACTAATTTATATTACGCTATAATGCATGTAATCGCTCCGATAATATATTCATCTCATGAATCAATGGTAAGTTCATTAATTAATTAGTAATTCTCCGAATGGAATGAGCTCATAAATAAGGATAACCAGTGAACAAGGCATAATAATTCGTTTATGGTGAAGCTATGGATTCGCTAACTCGTTTGTCCCCTTCCTTTGCGGCTGTTTGTGCTGCCAATAGCGTCATGTGCCCCCTGATGGCCCACCTGGCCCAACCTCTTCGCATCCGACGGGAGCCAATCGCGTGTCTAACGTACGATCTAATGCTACACTACGCTCGTAACGGGTGTCGAAAGTGGAGGGAGTTCGTCGCGCTTACAAGTCGCTTGGCTCCGAGCGATTTTAGATCGTCGCGCTGCGTCGCGCGATCGTACCTGGCCAGCGATGCTATCATTCATATCGGCACGGAATCCCGTTTCAAAATTAAAATTCCTTTTTGAACGCTTGGGATATCTAAGAGAAACGAGATCTCGACTTTCTAAGTTTTTCACGCGAGCAATAAAATCGATCCCAAATAAACAAACAAGCTTTTCAAAGAACAGGAATTACCCACGTTTTTTATTTATATTTAATAAGATCTTTACATATACAAAACGCCTCTTGGTATTTTAGAGATTTTTTTCTTCTTTAAAATTCTCGAAATTTTATGCTATATATATTATATAATTATGAAATCAATTAAATATGTTACTTTTGAAAAGTAACAATAGTAACAATAAATCTTCTTATCCCTGTAAACATGCGCGTGAAATCATTGCTCGTGAGAGTTTATTTAATATCTTGTAAATTAAAGTTTTATAAGACGCGACGCGCGAGCGCACAGGAGCGTTCTCTTTTCTTTTCTTTTTTAAACGTGTGTATATATGAGATTGGTCCAGCTACGGGAATCAGGTTCGGTAACTTGTCCCATCCATCACTAACCCGGACAGCCAGATGTTCGCAGGGGGTACAATGGTCGGTATAAGGTATTACCCCTTCGTGCATAATGCCTCCAACAGAAATTATCCAACGGCACCCTCCGCTCTCGGACATAGAAAATTTTGGATTTTACGTCTGGTAGGATCTTTTCTCCTTCTGTGCGAGTCTCCCGCTTGCCCTTACAAAAGCGCGAAAACTGCTTCCCCCGGATGATCCACTACTTGAACGCGAAGCAAAGCATGCTGTAAACGGAAAACTCCGTCGAATCCCTCCCCCCCCCCCGATGGACGCTGAGAAGAATCAATTTTGTCTCTTCAATTTCGTTGCTTGATTTTTTTTAAATAGCTAGCAGCATTTTATACGAATGTTCCAAGTTTTGCAAATGTTGCAAATTAAATGTCGAAGTTAATTCCAATGTGTTAAACTGTGTGTTGATGGAGAGTTTGCTTAAACATTTACAACATTTACATAAAAATGTTGTTTATAGTAGAGGGCGTCATACAGCTCGACTATCGTAGCTCTTTCTCTCTCGTTCTCTCTCC